ATTTGCAGGGTGTTTTCTTTGGCTCTAGGATGGGGGATTTGCTCGTATGTGCTATTAAATTTCATAGCCCTTGCTTGTTGCGAATTTACGGCTGTTAAAGTTTTAAGTAGCCAATTGAACTGGAAACCGTCGCTGTGGGTGGTATTTCGATCCGGTCTGGAGTCGGTGATAATACCTGGTGGTCACGTGCCTCATGTCCTGTAAATCGATTTGGTTCCCATGTTGTCGGGCTGAGTATCAGCGAATGGACTCCATTAGGAAGTCCTGAAAGGCGTTTGGCTCAATGGGTCGGAAAAAATAAACTGCAGTGCCAAGTATGCAGCTGAGCACTGCCTAATTGCTGGGTTCTAATGCGATTGGCTGTTTTCTATTATTTCTTCACTTCAAATGAGTGTTTGTTGGGAAGCAGTAACTGTTTAATTAAAATAAGTAAAACATCATCTTATTTTTGAATTCGAAAAGGTCAGTTTCAAGTCATTGCCCTTGACCGACTAGACTGTAGATCATGTTTAGGAACTCAGAGATCCCAACTTGCGTTTTTCTCACTTCGAACTGATAAGCGTTCCGCTCGGAGATTCGTTTCGATAGTCGGCCTCTTCTGCCAGTTGCATTGATAGCTATTCGATTTTATTTGTTCGAAACCAAATGCCAAACGGATCGGATCGGATCGGATCGATTCGAAGCGGTCTTATCACTAGTCGAAAATAGATCTGGCGATGGAGCTCTCTTCTTTTCGAAGCGATTTCTCTGTTTCCCGATCGCCGCCTCTTAATTCAGTGTGAGCATTATCACCGATCTGTTGAATACGTGCACTTGTTGTTGGCATTTTCATTTATTTTATTTAAGTTTTTGTTGCGTTTTTTGTCGTCTTGTGATTTTTTAGTTTGTCAGAGTCTGTTGTCTTGATAACGTTGCTGATCGTGTCTAATTTGCTATACTATTCAATTCGACTTTTTGCTGTGTGTTTCGTCTGCGTTTTCGTGTTGTGCGTTTATAAAATACTGCTGCTCATTAAAAAAAATCTGGAATTTCTTATAAGTGTGCTTTCAAATTGGTGAAATACTTGGAAAAGTGCCGTTATTGTCGTGGACGCTAGCGCAGTTGAAAGAAAATAGAAGAACGAAAGTATTGTACGCTTATGTCATTACGTCTCGTAGCGTAGCGTAACGTCACGTCACGTCACGTCTCCCGTAAAACGTAAAAAAGTGACTGTTTTGCTTTCTTTGTGGGTTCCTTGGTATATATTCAAATATATTTCGGTATCATTTACTATTACTGTCTGTCCTACATGCATCTGAGTCTTATGTGAGTACACCTCGAGTGGAGTATCCTTATTTTTAAGCCTTTAAGTCAGTACTTAAACGTTGTGTTTATCTGGCCATTCGGGCCATTTATTGCCAAACCGAACGCAACTCTAACCTCATTTACTGTGTTGTCTCATTATAAACCACATGGGTTTAACTCGGCTATATAAATCAGCGAATATATGTATATGTACGTACACAAAAGTCTATAAATGTGCTTATAAATGCAATAAATCTTTGTTGCTTGGGTTATCTGTTTTCGCCTATTTGTTGTTATTCATGTGATGCTGTGGTTTTTATTTGCTGTCGATGTGCCAATAAAGGTTTCCTTATCCTCAGCATTGTGTTTACTTTTTTATGGCGTTATAATTGATTAAAATGTTATGTGCATATCTGCTTTCCTCGAGTGACAGATTAATTTCACAAGTTTTTATTCAATTTAACGATACAGTTGTGTTTTTCGCAAATACTGTGCAACGAACGGAAAAACTATCTTTAAAGTTCACATGTGAATTAATAGATTTGTTTGGGTAATTTGTGGCATACATATTTCATAATCAGGATTATCTGCTTGGAACAATTAATAATTGCAGTTGCAATATCTATATTTAAATACCTGCGAGGGAACATTCACTTGTACTCTGCCATATCATACGGAAATCCCACTACAAATCAATTGACAAATCCCGGAACTTAGAGCCATTCAATTAGCCGTAATTAGACGGAAGTTGCCGCTCTGCCACTGAGCATCACTTGTTGCATGAATAATGGCGGCCAATAATAATGCCGTTAACAAGGGATGGCATGGGTCCAATTGGGGGGATCGGAAAGGATTCTTCCAGCTCCAGTTCAGCAGTTCTGTTTGCTTTGACAAATACAAGTTGCCTCCTGGAGCCATAATAATATTATTTATGGTCCTCCGGAGGACATCGGCGAACGGAAGGGAAAGCTGAGCAGCCGGGAATCGATGAAAGTGGCTGACAATTTATAGATGTCTCATTATTATGGAACCAAAAAGGGGGCGTGGTCCCAGTCCTTCGCACATAAAGTTCGGTGCTGCTGGCGCAGATAAAAAAGAAGCTTAAAGATACTTTTATATTCGCTTGCTAGCAACCTTTTGCGATGTGGCGTTCTTTGGTGTTCTTTACTTTGTGCTTTTTTTGTGAATTGTCATTGTTTTGTACGTGTTTTTATTGTTTTTACTGGCTTGACTTTTGTAATATGTTGCCAATGTATCTGTGGGTTCTTAGTTCTTGCGCTCCTTCCCAAACGCATGTCAAACATGGAAAGCTGCTTGTTTACGCTTTTCGTATTCTACTCCTCCAGCTTTTAACATATGCTTCACTTATGTTCCAAGCCATTTGCTAGATATTTACAAAATAAAGCAGCTCTGACAAAACAAATTTATATTGATGACGATGCCTGGGAGTGATGTATGCAAATGGCTGTATCCACTGTGGCATTTAAATCGTTATGCCTTTACAGATGGCCAGTCCTTTTACCTTTATCAAATTAGCCAACTTATACTGAACTTTTAGTACCTAGTACCTTTTAGTTTGGTAACATACTTTTCGGGTTAAGTTAACAGGTGAGTAAGCTCGGGTATTAATGGAGTTGGCATTAACGTAGAAGACTTCACTTCCAGATATCTTGAATGTTATTCAAAGGAAAATGTTGTTTCCTCCAACCCCATTTCTTTTACTTTCTATGTTGGGAAGCCTTAAAATGCCACTGGGTTATGTTCCTAGAATAAGGTTCTTAAAAATAGAATAAAATAAGTTAGATCTGTAAAAAGCATTCCTATTAGCTGTTCTATTTATAATTTTGCAATAATTTTTGCCTTATTTGTAACAAAAAAAACATCAAATATAATATTAGGAATATATTTATGTATATTTTTCCGACTGAGGAATATATTTATATCTTCATTTAGCTACATCTTAATATTTCATTCTTTCTAAAAATATGCTTATTTTGGGTATGCAGGTATTTCTTTATTTCAGGATAGCATTTGGTATTTATTACAATTGCTTTTGTAATGCCCCTATTTAGAGCCGTTTTGCCAAGAGTTCTCTGTGCTGCAGACAGACAACAATGATTCCAGGAATGGCATTGCCTTTCAGTTTACCACTTTTTCCTTACAATTACCATGGTTATCCTTGACAATTATTTCCGCACAGAAAACTTTCCTAATGCAGCACACCACGGCGGATCCGCTGTAATAATTGGCTAGCCCAAAAGACCCAACAAAAACACACAGCCTTGGTTGTGCCACCTTAATTGCAACCGACCAAGTCAACTTTCCTCCAACCAGCACTCGGCACTCGGCACTCAGCACTCACTTATTATTAAGTTGTTTTCGAAACTAGGAGGATGAAAAACCGGCGGGCGGAAGCAGGAGTAGCTCCTCCCGGCAAAAGTTAAATTATAAAATCGTCAAAAGTTGACGAAGACATTTTGCGCCTATGCAAACAAATACACAAGGAAAGTGCTCCACTAAAAAATGGGGCGAAGTGCGGGAGGGGAGCCACTTAAGATGCTTAGCGCCATGGCAAGCGAAAATAATGACGCTCATAAAAACTAACTAAACACCAAAATAAAGCAAATACTTGTATATACAAACCCCTATATACATATATACGAGTTGGCCTGGCGGTTGGGTGTGTTTTTAAGCTGGAACGCTCCCTGAATGACAACGATAATGATGTGCGATAATGTTTGTTGTTTCTTCGTTTGCTTTTGTTTATTGTACTTTTTCATCCCACAGTGCTGGTAACAATGATAATGATAATGATGAAGATGTTATTGTGCTTCTCGTCTTTGTTGTTGTGCAATCTAAGACAACTGTCAAAGTCTTTGCCAAAGGATTAGTCGACTCGGCGCCTTTCGCCTTGCCATACCCTGTAATAGTTGTGCGTAGGATATGTGTATTCATCTGGCACTTTGTAACCAACCAAGGCGTTATATTTTTTTAGTCATTTTTCACGCAAATCAGAATCAAATGATGTTCAAAGATAAACTTTTTTGATAGTTGCTTTCATGGAAAACTCATTGTGCTATTGATTGAGCTTTTATTTTTTTTTTTTCAATGATACTGCACAGATGTATTAAATTAGATATATCACATTAGGGATTTGGAAATTCAAATATGAAAAACTCATTGTGCTATTGGTTGAACATTTATTTGGAAATGGAAATTAGGGATTTGGAAATTCAAATATGAAAACCTTAAAAAAAAACGTCTGAGTATTGCTTTTCCTAAGTATATATGAATAATATTTGTAAAATTTGTAAATCAACAACCATTTAGCACAGTTTAGTTCAGTATAACGAAAGAGTCCACTTAATCGGCAGAAAAATAGTTTTACACATTTTCAATAAACAGGCCATAAGGTACTGGGCACTCTCATCGTCGAGACGAGTGCGAGCATCTCGTGACTGGTTGCCTTCCCATTACTTTCGACCTGCTCCTATCGCAGTCGTAATTAAAATTGCAGCAGACGTAGTGAAGTTTTGTACTTTCTCCAGCACCAGATACTCCTGCAAGCCAAGCCCTCCCATCAATTTAATCGCTTTGACTGCCTGCTGCTTGTAATTTATTTATTGCCGAAAATCGTTCCCACTCTTGATTTGCCCCTGCCCCTGTTTGTTGTATTTTTTAATTGATTAGAAACTCGAGTTTTGTTTTGTTTCTTTGGCATCAATTGGCATCGAGCCAGGAAATTTTCAGCCTCATTGAATTTCTTTGGGGTATTTCTTGCTCACCCTCTTGACTTTCTTTTCGACTCGCCAATTTTAGCAAATTACTTTCTTGGCAAAACTTTTATATTTGTTGATTCATTTATTGCTAATGTCAAACGTTCGATTTCGTGAACTGTGAGCAACTGATATGAATCAGCGATAGCAATCAATGGCATTTCATTTCAAACTTTGTTTCATGTTTCGCAATTAGGAATATTTTTGGAATTTTTAGCAATGTTTATAAAGATTAAAAACAGAGAGAATTTTCTTATCTCAGTTGGCCGCCCTGACAGCTTGTCAAATCGTTTCAATATAGATTTTTAGTTGTAGTGTTTCCAAATCAGATTGTGTAGCGTACATATAATTTTATAAAAGTTCATCAATTTTTCGGCTTCTTGGTGGCAAAATTCTCAATGTGTTAAACTTTCGGCCGTACCGCGTCAATCTTCCCATGCTTTTATCAATAATAGAAAATAAGAAAATCTACAAAAAAATATACAAAGACTACAAATGGAATAGCCCGGTTCTCAGCTTTCGGCTACAAATTCTACAAGTGTTAAGAGGAAAAAAGGAGAAATATAACAAATTCCAGCAGCAAGTGAAATAGGTGAGTGCGAGAAAGTTCCTCAAGGGTCCAGACCCAAAGCGGATATTCCAGTTGTCCTTGGGTGTGAATGGAAAGTGGGGTGCTGAGCACTCGTCCTGTGTGTTGTGGGTGTGTGGGTGTCTGGGCTTCCTCGCTGCATGACAGATTATCGCAAGGACCTTGCCGTCCTTTGAGTGTCCTCAACGGTTATTGAAATTGCTGCAATTGAGTTCGGAGTGCTCGAAGCTATTTAATTGCTGCCGCCTGCCGCTCAGAACTTGCTTCACTACTTCTGTTGAAGCTGAGCTAGCGATTTTGCAAGTGCGGCACTAGCCCTATATAACAGTGGTTCTTCTTGAGAAAATCTATACTTGCTTTCATATTAAATGCTGGCCAATTCTACAAAAGTAAAATAAAAATACATTTTAAGTTTGTAAAACATTGCTTAGGTGTACTCATACCTCTAAAAAATGTTTGAAATGTAAAACCCTTAGATGGGTAATAGTTAGTTTCTAGTCCTTCACCTAATCGATGCTTTTTGGCCATCTCTGGTTCGGGTCAATTGGAGCGGAGCGGGCAGAAGGGGTGGCAAGAGGTCCGCTTCCTTTCCCGCAGGTGTTGTAAGCCAGCAACGAGTCCTGGAACTGAGCCAAAGCTGCTTTCTCTCAAGTGCTAACTAATTTCGTTGTTGTCCTTACCGCTTCTGCTCCACATCACTGGCCCAAGGATGCGCTCGGCATCCTCGGGCTTAGCCTCATTCCCTGGCTCATCCTCATCATCGGCGTCTTCCTGCAGTTTCGTTTTTGGTGTCAGCAACATTTCTTCAATTGGTTTCGTTTGCCCTGCCAGTCAGGTTGTTGTCCTTTTCGGTCCTCTGTGTCCTTTATAGAGTTTTATGCGATTTCTCTCTAGTTTTTTTTGTTTTTTTTTTGTTTTTGCTCCTTGGTGTAGTGCAATCTTTTTGGCAAACTCTTGTGTGGCGCACAGTTGTTGACTCTGTTTCGGGGCCAAGCCAATTCCTTTTTGGCCTGGCCAAGTCATTCTCTTGGCTTGTTTCGGCGTTCCATGCACTTGTGTGCTCCCTACCTATGGCCACCCCCTTTCCAAATACGCTCTGCACATAAGATCTGGCTTCTGTTTCGAATTTTTATGGCCGTCGACTCAGTTATCCTTTCTTAACTTGGCCGAAAGTTGAGTTTCGTTCGTTCGGGCAGCATGTCTCATTTGGATCGTAACATTTAGCTTAATGTTTATGAAGTTTGCCGTCAAAATAGTTTCACCTGAAGTGAAATAGGAGGTTTTATAGTTCAGTTCGGGTGTATTTATTCCGAATAATACAGTTCCTATAATGAAACTAAATATTATAGACTTCTAAAATATCTGTGCAGAATTGCATTTTTTTTTTCCCCCAATGGGATGGGAATACAACACAATGTATGTTAATTGTTAGTAATTCTAATCAGGACTCAAATTAGTAAATTAGAGAGACGACGTTGATTTTTATATCGAAGTTACTATATTATTATTTATTTATTACTTTGAAAGCTTGTGTAAAAGCTTTTGCGTTAAAGCTTTAACGGTGCTACTGCCAAGCTCTCTCAAGATCAGCTGTTTCTCTATGCCGAGCATGCGGTTTGTTCGGTGTGAATGCCAAACAGCTGATCACAGCGTGGCAGAGCGAAAAAGTGAAAAACTCTCTTAGTTTTATCGAAATTTCTGTGTTGTTTTGGTGCACGACGCCTGCTCGCCGCTGCTAAAAGGTGTAAAACTACTGTAAATTGACTAATTCTGCAAGCAAATCTGCACAAGTGAGTTGATGCGAAGGCTGTGCACCAGTTTAAGTGGGCTAACTCAAGTATTTCGCAGATAAATCGGCGAAAAACCAGTCAACTTCTTCGACAGCGATCTTCACTCGACTTGCAACATTGATGGGTTTTACCAAAGGTGCAAAAAGTCTGGCTGTTTCCTTGGTAAAAAACGTAGTCGGCAATTCTCAAAGACTGCTCGAATATAAAACTCAGACTAGAGTCTCGCTGTTGTCCAGATTTCATTCAACTTGCGCTGGTAAAATGGAGAAGGTGTATCTCAGAAACGCGAGTGATAGCCAGGAATTGGACATTGTGTTTCGCTTTGTGAATGCGAATTTGAAGATGAACCGGGAGTTCAATTTCCGTCGCCAAATGACCGAGCCCATCCAGGCGATTTTGGCCCGGATTCAGAGTAATATTCAAGGCAGGCTGGCAAAGTCGTGCAAGAAATCGAAAACCAAACCACCTGCTGAAATCAATGTGAAGCTACTGAGTGACGAATATGATGACAAACTGAATGAACTGACATTTGCCGATCTATTCACCCGGGAGGATGTGAGCAACGTAAAACTGCAGGTGCTAGATACAGTCTACGATCTGGTGTTCAATCCACCATGGATTTCAGCCCTTAAATTGCCCTCGTGCGTTTTGGCGGGATTCGTGACTTACCCGACCAATGTTCAGATACAATTCGGAGAGCGCCAGTTCAGCAAGGGAGTTTGGTCCAAGGCCAAGAGCCCCACAGACGACGATTGGGAGGTGTGCGGAGAAGGATTTCAGTATCTGGTGGCGCCTGCGGATGTTGGTTACCATTTGAAGTTCGAGATAACGCCCGGAAATGCGCAGGGAATGGCTGGTCCTGTGGTGGAGAAGATATCCAGCTCTGCGGTGCAGGAATCTCCCGGATTTTGTCCGTTCCAAGATCGCCACAGGCACACCCCGAACTTTTTGGGCGAACCCAATGAGATTCGGGTGGTGTCCTACAATCTGTTGGCCGATTTATATGCCAGTAGTGACTATGCCGGCAGCACTCTGTTTTCCTATTGCCCGGCGAAATATCTGCAAATAGACTATAGGAAGCCACTGTTCATCAACGAGATCATCGGTTACAACTCCGATATTCTCTGCCTGCAGGAGGTCGATCAGCGGATATTTGATTTTGATCTAAAGGAAATCCTGGAACAACCTCCTTATAACTATCGCGGCATAATGGCCCCAAAGGGCAAATGTGCGGAGGGAGTGGCCATTTTCTACCGAAACTCACGCTTTGACCTCTTGGACACCCAGGTTCTGCATTTGGGATCCAATATTCCCGTACTGCCCGTTTTCGAAAGCCTTTGGAACAAGATCAAAGTGAACGCACAATTAGCAGAACGAATTTGTGATCGGTCCACCACTCTGCAGACTTGTTTGCTGAGGATCAAGGGTACCGATAACTACGTTCTGGTGGCCAATACTCATTTATATTTCCATCCGGATGCTGATCACATTCGACTGCTGCAAATGGGATTTTCCATGCTATTTGTAGAGCACTCAATTAGCAAAGCTTTAAAGGACTTTAATATTAGTAGCCCCACAAACATTGGACTGATATTTTGCGGCGATTTTAATAGCGTTCCCGAGTGTGGTATCTACAAGTTAATGACGCAGCAGCTTGCCGATAATTCTCTGGAGGATTGGCGAAGTAATGCCGAGCAGGCTGTTTCGAATGTGGAGCTCTCACAGCCGTTCAAAATGGGCTCCGCTTATGGGGCACCGGCGTATACCCACTACACCACCCTGTTTTCGGGTTGCTTGGACTATGTATTCTACCAGAGCGATCGCTTCGAAATGCTGAAGGTGGTTCCACTGCCCACAGAGGAGGAGTTGAAGGCCAACTCTGCGATACCATCGGCTGTTTTTCCATCCGATCACGTTGCTCTTGTGGCCGATCTTAAGTTTAAGTCAAATGCCCCATGAATTTGGGGCATGTATACGCCATTTAGAATATCTCGGGGATTTCTCAGCACGCCAAATACTATGCTTAAATGTAATGTAATACGATATTACGATATTTACCTTTTAAATATACGTTTGAAATACTTTTTCTATATTTATCCAACGAATCATCGCATATTAACAAGTATCTATCATTCCTTATAAGCCTTGCGAAAGAAACAAATAACCGCGTAGATTTAAACGAAAGTAAAACAAGGAAAATAAACCGAAATAAATTGCGGAATGAAGTGACAACAAATTGAGTAAATCCCTGAGTGGCTTAGCTCGCCTGCAAGCAGCTGAATTTCAGGGCTTCTGCTCCTGTTTTCCGGCTGATTGCAGGACGCCGAGCAATTAACGTGAAAATTCGCCAAGGAAAAACGCTCCGTCGAGGAGGTGGCGCCAACAACAATGGCGCGAAAAGCTGAAAAGAAATCCGAGTGGGAAAAAATATCCCAAGCCAACTGAAGTGATTTTCGCACTAATTAACTGCACTTAGTTGACACATACCAATCTATTCACGCCGCCACTCCCCCGCATAGTTGTCGTTGGCCATAATCAGAGCCAGTGCAGCATTTTAATTGGTTTCCACAGTGCTGCCAATATAAAGTCCCACATGTGCAATCGGAATTTTCCACAGAAATTATTAGAAAGCAAATGAAATGTGGCCCGATGTGCGGCACACCCTCGGTCAAAATGATAGTGCTCGCACTTAACTTAACATCGGTTTAAAATCCTTTTGTCAAATATATATATTTAAGAATATTCTGGCAATTTAATATTTTAAAAAATATCATATCCCATAAATAATAATTCAATAAATAAGAATATGAATATAGATGCCTATAAAAAAGTGCCATTCATTTTCCCCCAGCTGTAGGTGTTCGTGCGGTGTTCTATAAGCCCTGCAACTCTATAATTACGTGGCACAGTGTTGACAACTAACTTCTTGCAGTGAGGAAAATGGGAAAAGGGGAAGCTTGGTTTGGCTCCTCATTTTCCTGCGCATATGGGGCATATTGTTGTTGCACATCAAAGTGAATTCGCTTGATTTAGTTCTGATTTTTCCATGGCCATATGTGTATGGCAAATTCAAAAGGTTTTAATGAGTTGTGGGTATGGTTGCATGTATTTCAATAAACATCCATTCATTCATTTCTTTCTTACTACTTCCAATTATAGAAATTTAACTTGACTGCTTGCGTTTATGTAGAAACTGCAATCTTAGAATTATTTATTTATGTGACTCATTTGGTACATTGAGTTCATAAAAAATGGGAGAAAATAAGCTCCGACCAAAGGTCATCGCCAGAACATTTTATTTACTTTGTTGATTAAGCTAAAATAGCATAACAGCAGGGGAGAGATCATCCAAGTGGCAAGTTACGAGGCAACTGCCAAGGACAAAGCCCTGCAAACCAAGAAAAACCAAGAAAACCAAGAAAAAGCCCCCGAAAAATAAAAAACAGCGAAGAAAAAGCAAACGGCAGCATACGGAAATGCCAGGAGCGTGGATTACATTAACGCAGTATTTTCATAGACGAGGGTAGGGAGTGGGATTGGCGGGGAGGGGTCTTGGCTTTTCGGGTGGCAAGTTGCAAGTTGGCAAATTAAACGCCCACTTAATCTCGACCGGGTCAGCCTGTGACACGAAACTCATGCGGTGGGTGAGGTGCTGAGTAAACAAATTCGCAACTGAGAATCACTAAAACTTGTTGAAAATTATTGCTATTTTAGGGCACTTAAAATATTTAATCAATTTTAGTTTTCGTTCTTCTGAAGAATATGCAATTACCATTCAAAACTTCTGCTGAGTTATAAAAGCCAGCGTTCTGCTGCAATTCCAGGGTCAGTTGTGGTACTTGGAAAATTCAGGGACATCGCCAGGGGACAGTGTCAAGATCAAGTCTGCACGTCCACCTCACTCGTTCACTCCCCCAGAGGTCTAGTCGGTTTCAATTAATTTCACGGCGAAGGGCGACTGGCTGGGAAAACTAAGGAAAAACTGTTTTCCGGGCACTTTTGTGTCAAAAAGTTGTCGTCGCGACATTTCTACTGTGTCTCGACTGCGTTTCCCTTTTCCCCAGATTCCATCCCTGATTTCTCCATATTTTCCCGGCAATTCCTGCTCCTTGGAATGTTTTTATTTTATCTGTGTTTTTTTTTTTTTTCTCGAGTGCAGGAAATGCGTACTTCCTGTTTGTTGTCTCTGCAAGCCTTGGCATATTTGCGTGTCCCGTCTCTTTCTCGCCTTTTGGCTGCCTGCTTTCCACCTTCCCCCTGCGATTTTCCTTTTCCCCTGTGCGAGTTTGAGGGGCACTGAATGCACTTGGACCGTAACTGTCTGCGAATCTTCTTTTCCTCGACTTTGCTGGGGTCGTCTCCCCCATAAACTTCTTCCTACTGACGCATAATTTTACATGTTGTCGTTGTTGCTTCCTTTGTGTACCCTGTTCTCTAAACTCACAGGGTATGCTTACATATCGGTCTGAAAAATGCCCAGCACTTAGCGTTGCGTAAGAGTATCTTTCCTGCCAGACATGGTTTCAAAAGCACATGCTCTAGTTGGTACTTCGCTTAAGGGGTATCCAATAGTCGATGCAGCGCCGCTTAGACTTATTTTGCATGGGGATGCATGGGGCAGGAAATGTCTGAGCTCAATGCACTGCCCGTTCCGTTGGTTTTGTTAAAAACTTGCTACCATTTATCTGTTTTGTGTACGTGTGTGCGCCTTGCCCCCAGTTCAGATCCTGTATTCCCCACCGTGTGGCAAGTTCATCCGCTTGCTCTTCGCAGAGGCTGCGTTGATATTTTTTGTAAAAGGCCCTGTGCAGAAATTTTTCCGGCAGCAGCTTATTGGAATGGATAGATTGGGAGAAAAAGGAAAAGTCCTTGCCACTCACTGCCTCTTTGTCGCATTAAAAAAGGATACTAGGCAACTTCCGAGCTTTGCCTGTTTGTTTTCTGCGTAGTGCTTCTACCAGCCAGTAGCTTGGTATCTAATCAACTTAATTGAAAAGTATTAACTAATGCGTGCAACGTGGGCCTGCATTTGATTTATTTATGTCAAGCTTTCATCACGAAGTCAGCTCAAGTCCTTCATGATTATGAATAGAGGTTGCCAGAGGTCAGTCCTATGAATAGAGTAGCTTTGTATCCCTTACATGCCCACTGAAGTTGAGGGCTCTGCAAAGGGCATATCCTCCCTTGTGGGCCTGTGTCCCTTCCCACGAGCTTGGGTGGAGGTCAACTCCTTGTGCCTGTGCCCATTGAGAAGCTTGGGGCAGCAGTCTCGACATGGAGACAACGATACATTTTGGACACACTCCGAGCAACATGAAGTACAATGGCAGGAGCAACAAGCAGCGACCACAAACGCAAAGTTCTTCGCGTCAACTTAATGGAGTTCGCCCAAATGCCACCTAAATAAGAGAGGGGACATGTCCACAAAAAGCCGAGTCTCAAACACCCTTTAATTAATGCACTTACATTATTGTAAGTTATTGTAAGGCAGCTTTAGACTCAGATGTAAGCTCCAAAAAGATTCGTTCAACCACAGTTTCTTGCCATTGAAATATACAAAAACTAGATCAAATTTGTGGGATTTACTCGATTTTGAATTAAAAATGCTCATCGAGGCGCATTTTATAGTTACAAGTTCCTCATTTCCCATCGAATCTAATCGGGATCCGAGAGATCCCAAGGGAAAGGGTATCGCAGGACCAGAGAGCACAAGGTTTCAACCACAAGGCTCCAAGTGCTTTGTTTCCGTTGCTCCTTACATGGATTTCCAGAGCCCATCTCCATTGGCATCCACGTAGCTCCCCAATGCGCCCAGCACTTCGGGAGCTTACCACATGTGCACTTTGTAATCTGCCGGCGTTATTGCATTGTGTGGTCGCTCGCCAAGGTGGGCGGCTTGAAATGGGCGGCGGAGTGCGATGTCACCTAGACTTTTGAGTGCATTTTCCTGCGGTCGCTCCTGCAGATGCTCAAGAAGTTTATTGGGCTCCCAAGGAGCTGCCCGTCTTGCAATTTGATACGTTTTCAAGGGGCGATTTTATGAGTATCTCAGCCAGCTAATTGATTCGTACATTGTTCTAGTTCGTGAGTGAGGTCCCTTTCATGACACATGCATTATACTTTTTATAAGTCTTGAGAACTAATAAACTCTATCTCTTCCTTTCGTTAGTAATCTCGGAAAAATATACATAAATTTTATAGATCAATTAAGTTATACTAAAAACGCAACTTATTAACCATGCACATCGAATGAAAGTTCTTAATTAAGAATGGATATACATAACTTGGGAAATTCTTAAATTTGTTAAGCAACTGCAAGGAAAAGTCCTGCTTCCCAATCAAGTTTTTGGCTTCGGTAAACCACCGGAAGAGCAGCCACAAAGGAATTTCCACTCTCTGTGTCATGCGATCTGGTTGTGCCTCGCATTTTTCTGGCTCACCTTAACAAGAGCCTCATAATCGCATCAGGAATTTTCTTGTTAAGCGTCAGGGAAAGAACAAAAATATATATATATATATATACTTGTATAAAAAAGAACACATTTTCGCAACTTTAGCGGGCGTCGCGTCGCCGCAGAAAAAGTCAACAGCGGGGTTGGCGGCGAGGTGGGGGATTTGAGTCCTTTGTGGACGGGGATCGAGGTCCTTTGCCTTCTCCACGGCGTTCCCCCGTTCGGATGGAATATACAAACAAGCAAAAGTTTGTAAACAAAAATTGTGTTAAAGGCCAGACTCTCCGCTAGGGGAGGTGGAAAATCGGGGGTCTTGGGTTAGTGGTTTTCCTACGGGTTAAAGCGGCAAGCCGGTAAAGTTTTTACATCATGATGCGGCGATGATATGGCACTGGGAGTTGGACAGAGATAGGTTGCTATAGCCGCCCCGCACCTGATTACCCCAGCCTTTCCCCATTATGGTTGTAGTTTTTGTTGCGTATTTATTGTCGTCTAGGTTCAACATCGCCACATTCAACTCCCATTCCCATTCCCACTACCTCTGCTGGATGATGTTGGATACATTCCATTTCCACTTCAACTTGCCACATTCATTCAGATACCCTCTTCGCGGGTATCACATTATTATTGAGCAACTTACTTAATTAGACAATGCTCAAACTGAAAGCCAACTAATTTATTTGAATGCCTATGAAGTAGTATTTAAAAATGTTTTAGCTAGAACAACAATTATTTAGAGTATTAAAATGCGGTTTTTTGCAATACAGTGGAATACTTATTGTTATTTTTTCTTCCGTCTCTGTTGCTTTTTCGCGGTTAAAGTTGCCGGCATTTGTTCCTCGGCTGGCCACACGTTTCGTTGTCAACGTTTGTGGCTGTTGTCCTTGTTTGTTGTTATCCTTGTTGTATGCCCATCAGTTGGTTAGGCGGTTGCCGTTTGTGGGGATAACAACCCTCTGCAATTATTGGCAAATATCCTCTGAGATACTCAAGAACCTACTTGTGAGATTTTACCTCACTAAGTAACTGAAGTACGTTTTGTTTTTAGATATTTATACTACATGCTTAATTCACACTGAAATCGTTACCTCTAAGAAATATTTTATTGAAAAATCTTTAGTTGTTGCTGTTTATGTAATGGAAAATTTAATTAATTTTTTATATTTTTAATATTATATTTGTTTCCATGTTTCATTGTTTACATTTTGGTGCGTACAGCTTATTGTTTTGGTCCATTTTGGAGCATCAAATATTTCCCGAACCGTTTCGTTTACGGAATTTCCTTTTACCGTTAAGAAGACCTACGCAGGCGCGCTCTTTTGTTTGGTTTCAATTTCTCTTTATATCATAAAATATCCCTTATCCTTTCTTTTATTTGTGTTTATATTTTTATTTTATTAGAAACAATAAATAGTAGTGTCCTAACTTTAATATATAAGTAACTGACAAAATAAATTCATATTTAAAGTGGTTGTATTATGCACAAAGTGAGGAATAGTTGTTTTAATTGTATACCGGATTTTACAACTTTAGTATTAAATCGTTATTCATCTATTTCTTCGGAATTTAGTTAAGCAATCTCAACATTGAATAAAAGTAATAATTTATATTATAGTCAATCCAAAGAAAAACTTAATTTTATTTAAGCTTATTATTAAGCCTATTATTTTGCTATTTTCTTTCGTGAACTGCTTCAAATTCAAGCTATCCCCTTTTTCATTCATTAATTCAATTGACAATTTTCGGAGGGGCGATGCAGGGCTCAGTCTAACAGGTTGCTATGATGGCAACATGTGGAAGAGAAGAGGCGGCCACGAAAACCGAACTCGAAGCGAACGAGAGAAAAAGTCCCAGAGAGAATCAAATTATTTGCTCTGGCTTTTAGCACAGAACGTTTGCCGCCTGTAAACAGAGAGCCAATTCCTGCAGGACCTTCGCCAAAGGAAACTGTGTGAGTGTGCGAAATTCAATTTGACAATTGCCGACTCTGCTGCCGAAGCGAAATCAGTATTTAGTATAAATCGTGCTTTCAAACGGTGCGGATGTCCTGATCAGCGGTGTTATCCTGTGTCGTTCGTCCTGTTCGTCGATTGTCGTTGGTCGTTGTCGTTTGGTACCGTTATCGCGTCCGGACGTTTGCGCCAGTGTGTGCCCTTTTAAGTAGGCAACACTTTTGTAAGACTCGAATTTAACTCTGCAATTAACCCAAAACAGAATTACCAAGGAGCCCGGCTCCTTTAATTATTTATATTCGGTCCTTTCCCTCGCATTCGGTTAAGTGTATAATTAGGTGCGCCGTCGAAAATTCAATCAGTCAAAGTGGAAAAGAAATCTATATAAAAAAACGAGTGCGTCTGTGTGTGCAATAAAAAAGAGACAGGCTCGAATGATAACAGTCGTAATCAAAGGCTCTCGGTTGGCCTTTGTCCTTTGTTGATTTTGCCGTGAATTCGATTGCCACTGTGCAGCTTAAAGTGTATTTCAACGCCAACACTAAAGTAAGCAATTTAAAATGTGGTCTTTTATAAAATATCTGTCATTCAAGTTGGGAAAGGCTTTTTGATACCATGTAGTTAAGTTTAGTTTGCTAAAAGTAATGGTTTTATGATTGGTTAATTGCAATCAACCTTTTTTTGGTTTTTCGGAGGACCACAAATTTGCTTGAGTATTTCAAATATGTAGGTGATCATTTTTGGCCAACAATTACGCTATGTTGCGTTAAAGTGGCGTCGCATAGTTGCATTTTGCCAGTTGTCACTGTAACTCCCTGCTGTGTGTCAACGTGTTAAATGCAAATGAGTTTTGTGGCTCTGTGGCTGGCTTCTCTCGGCTTTTTTGACTGTTAAGCTTTATCAATGGGCAACAACAATTACACATTGTTACGTCTTCAGATTGTGTCTTTCCCACTCTCTCCCTCTTTCAGCGTCTGAGTGTGTGTGCATGTGTGTGTGTGTGTTTGCATACCGGAAATGCAAAACTTCAACAACAGCAATGCAGCCTTTCTCCTTCACTCCCTTCCGTTTGCCGTCGCCCTCGCCTTTTCCCACACTTGCATTCCTCCGATGTGTTTGCGCGTCTGTTTTGCAATTGCAATTTCCATTTCCGTTACCGTGGTTGCCAGGCTGTATAAAATTCAAAAATCCATAGAAACTGGTTTAAAAGATTTGGAGAACTATGTAAAAAAACATCTGATACGGGTAGGGGTGTTGCTAATGCAAATATAAGTGGTTGTACTAGTATTAAACATGCTTTTATTGGTTATTATCATTGAAAAGTTACTTAAGAAAGTTCCTGCACCCGTTCTTTTAATGCGTTTTTTGTCCATAATTTTTTATTTTTACAATACTATTTAATATGCAAAAAATACCAAATATAAGTATATCAATTTTACTATTTTAAGAAGGTACACAGGAAAGAATCTGAATATATTTTAGTTGGTATAAATCAAGGAATTTGAGTGTTTTTTTAAGCTCCTTTATCTGTGAATCTGAACAATGCCGTACCTCCCTGAAAACAAAAACAGCTGGGGCATAATAAATTTATAATTTCATTTCGCCCTTGTATATTTTCTGCTGCCTCAATTACATTACAGTGCTCGCCGCCTTTGTTAAATTCGCAGTGAGCATTGTTTTTGCCGTGCCAGTCATTTTTAAGTGCTCTTGGCCGCCGCCATTTTGTGTGTTTGTGTAAATATTTAATTGATTTTTAATATGCGCAATGCATATTTGATAAGTGTTTTGATTTCTTTGGGGCAGCAGCTGGCGGCTCCTGGCTGAGAAGAATATTCCATGGGTGTGGGAATGTATGGTGGCAAAGTGAAATCCCGTTTCGTTTTTATGGTCTGCGCATAATTTGTGAGCGTTTTTGTTATCTGAATGGTCCGGAGTAATGCCAGTTTATATCAAATTTGAAAATAATTTGGCCAGGGAAAACGAAGTGAAAATGATTCATATAATTTAATCTGTTGCAAATTCATGGTCTTGGCAGCCAGACAACTTGCAGAATATGTGTAATTTCTTTCTAAAACTTAAAGCGGTTTAGAGCTTTTAAGACTTAAGAAAGATATTTTATACTAAATAAACCAATTTCATGTTAAATTGACAAAATCGGGCAAATAACTGCCAGGCAAATATCAAGTCAAATATTGTGCTTCGATTTTAATATAATTTTAAATTTGATAATGTGGCACAAAACTGTGTTTAACAATCTATTGCATAAATAGTAGACCGCAACATTTAAATTGGCAGTGGTGGCCGCAAGCGGGGAAACAAACAACAGTAGAAATCAACAAAAATGGAAATTCGTCGCCAATCACGTGCCGGCGCGGTTGCCTAGCGGAAATAAACGCGAGTGCGTTTTCTTGCTGGCGTTTTTTTTCGCCAAGTCTGTTGACAGCAAAAGTCTGCGGGAATTTTTGGGGAAATGTAAGGCGAGATAAAAGACAAGACCGGAAAAGGAAACGTGCTTTTAATTGAAAAACGTGAGTGGTATAAAAGATGTCCCATGGTCCTTGTCCTAATATTTATTATTCTTAAAAATATAATTTCTTTAATGAAAACTTGATTTTTTCGATGTGAAAATGCATACTCTTGTATTTTGGCCTAAGGCTACAAATTGTTCAACGATATTTGCATAAAGTTGTCAGGCATTTGATTTATCGCATTTAATTAAAACTCTGTCATCTGGGGCTGATGGAAGGTGGAGATGAGATGCTATGAATTAGGTTAGAAAAGATGGGAATTGTCAAACCTATTGGATACTTTTTGTCCAATGTTACAGTCTTTCTTTATAATTTTACCCACACCCTACTTTAATATCTTCGGTATTTTTCTACAACTTAAAATCGATTTTATTTTTTTTACTACTGGAGATATATCTTACTATTTTAAAACCTGAATTATGAGCTTCCGTTCGCAAATGACCACCAAGTTCGAGCTAAAAAGTTCCTGCCAGTTCAGTGACCTCCCTGAATGCTTTCCCCGAATTAATTTTCCACCCACAACAAATCCAAAGCTCTTTGTGAAAATCTTGTTTACAGAGGAGCGAGACAAACCACAAGTTTCAACTTACATTTGCCCATAATTATGCAATTACGTAACCATTTAAATAGAACATCGGACGTATTCAAAGTGAAATGAAATACGCAGACGGAAAATCGGAAAAAGCGAAATGAGCAAGGGAGACAGACTGCCTTTGACGTGACTTGACTGTTGCGCTGCCAGTCTCCTGCGGTTGCACTGGTGGAAGGGAGAGGGAGGAACGCTGCCAGACTAGCACCGTCTCCCTCCCACAAGGGCCCAAGCGTCCTGCGTACGTAACTAATTTGTATTGGTGAAAGCCGGAGACCACACATATTCAAAAAGAAAATTCAACAGAGCAGGGAAACTTGATAATCCACTGCAGAAATATTCACAAAAGAGAACCATCCCAATATCAAATCTTTTTTGTTTGTATGGCAAGCAAGGGTAATTAAAAAATAATATGTGCGTCAAAGGAATTATGTAGATTGATTAATGTTAAAGAGATTGGATGAGATTATTATATAATAAAATTGCAATTATTTATAATTTGCACAGGACTTGAAATATACATGTGCTTAATGCACTCTAACTGAATTGAATTCCGAGTAATGAGTTCTTTTATGCGAAATTGGCTAAAACAGAAGACGTAAGGGATGAATTGAGCATAACTCAATCCACTCCTTCGTTTAGTCATTTGGATTTAATCGGTTTTGTTTACGTCGTTTCAGCAGTCAATCAATATCCTGCTCCATCTGCTGTCCTATTCTCGGCCGCTCGCCATTCCATTTCATTCCGCATCCATCCCATGTTGAAGTATCTGTTTAGTAGTGCGCTTAACTTGACTTCCGTTTCCGCTTTGAACGGCTTCCGTTGAGCGTTATTATCTAACTAACTAGTGGCACTCGTGCGCGTAACGTTCTTTATGTGAGCGTATCTGTAGCTGTATCTGAATACACCCTCCTCCGTGTATCCTCGCTGTATCCTCGCTGTATCCTCGCTGTATCTTCGCTGTATCTGGTCTGCGGATCGCAAGTCCCTGCCAGCCACTCTCGTCGGCGACGTCAGTGTTTGAAAAATTTAATTACAAACTCTCTGAGGCATTATTAGAGAGATAACAGGATAATAACGATGGGCAAGGACGTCGTCGGTCGGCAGCTGTGCTCCACTTTTTTTTCCTTCCTCCATCCTTGCTCTTTCCGCCGCCATCCTTTGTAGGCCTTCGTCCTTCCCACTCACACTTCCCACTCCTTTGCATGGAAATTTTGTTTACTTTTCCTTCCGTCTGCCTTTCAATTAGTTGTTGGATCTAGACTAGACTGCACGTGACAAGCCTTTGCGCATTTGTCCCATTAAAAGTGAACGACACGGATTTTCAATATCCCCACAAACTTTAATTAAATACACTGTTTTTATTTTATTATGCTGTTTTTATTGCCAGCTGCATTAATTATGAATTTAAATGTTAAAATATGCCACTGCTTGTTGGTCATCAAGTATGCTTTTAATTGGCAATCATATTTCAATTAATTGCTTATCAAAAAAAAAAAATGCTCAACACCAAAAACAATATAAATATGCAATGCGAAAATTTATAGTTTTAATTACTACCAGCGGGGAGTAAGGAACTGGGCTATGCATTTTCATGTTCGACATCAGAATTGGGAAACAATTCTCTAAGGTTATTTAGCTTTAAGTTTGGAATCTGCAACATCGTATGTTAGCAATAATGTATACCCCCATGTGTTTTTATATTGTACCTCTTTTATAGAGTAATAACCAACTGCATAATCATTTTTGAGCATCAGCCACACATTTAATGCTGACATCAATATGAATTTACTTAGACTGCATTAAGTATACGCACCTTGAACCCTTAATCCATTCGCAACAATTAAAAGCTTTATTTGGGCTCAATGTGAAAAAGTATGCCACGTACAGAGGTCAGCAGTTATTTTTGTATTTTTTACCACGTTTATTCTTTACTAATTGCCCCCATTTTCATTCGTAAAAAGTAAAACAAAAAGGATTGTTTTCTATAAAAATTAATTCGCTTGTAAAATATTTTGTTTTGTTTGCCGTCAATAATTGAATGGAAAGCGAAAGGCAGGGAGGGAATTCGTTTCAATTTATAGTTAATTAATAAATGGCAATGAATAAACGCTCTTCCAATGCAAATGAAAACATTTTTATTCAACTTTTGTCCATTCGAGGCTAAGCCTGTAAATTGTTTAACAATAAGCGAAACAAAAGCAATCTCTTGTAACAGCTGCCGAAACGCTGAATTCAGGTTAAGCTCTTGTTATAAAAATAAAATAAGTCCGTAACTACTCTGCGTTGGAAGTGAACAAGGAAATATTTTTTGTTGGCACCCATGCGGCTGAATATCAATTATATAAAAATAACCAGAATTTATGGAGTGGCAAATTAAGCTAGCACCTCAGCTGTTCAAGTAATTCTAGATATATGTACAATATAAT